ACAACATCTTTGTTGTGATGATAGTCATTTGCTTTTTATTTTCTTTATACAACACTATTATATTGAATTTTTTCCCCCAAAAGGCACGTTTCCTTTTATTATACTTAGAAAAACAATTACTGCTTTTGAAATACAAATAATTCTTTCTACACATGTATAGTGTCTCAGGCAAATTACTGACTTTGCACCTATCAAAGCAAACCTTCTTATCAACCTGTTGGACCAAGTTCATTACATGAACTAGTTCAAAGTTCAATTCACAAATTTTAAAATGAACTAGTTCTTTTTTTCCATATGTTGCTGCGAGCTTCTTTTTTATTATTAAGCTATTATTATTGCCACAGCCCATATACAACCACAGATAACAATCATTTTGTCGACGGGCAGAGTTTGCACAGACATTTTCCCATCCTCGCCGACCTCATAAAACCCTTTTTTAAATGATCTTTCGACGCCTCCTCGCTCCTCGGTTCACAAACACTTGAATGAACGAGTTCACTGTAACGTTCATCAGGCAGTAATACAGTAGGTTACGTTCAGTTCACGTTTGCCCAAAATATGAACGAGTTTATGAACTATCGTCATTGAACGCGTTCAGACACAACACATATTACAAGCTCAAAATGATTATTCTCACATTCATTGTTTTAGAGCAGGGATATCCAACACGTCGCTCGCGAGCTATCAGTAGCTGTGGCTTGATTTGGTGGTGGTAGCTCGCCTTATGCCTGTTCACATATCACGCTCACATATTTTGCACGCTCAAGTAGGTTTCAAATAGGCGCGCATCAAGCGCCGAGCGCGCTCATAATTGAAGCGACGCGCTCATTTTTTTTCCAGGCGCAGTACTTCGTGGTTGTCTATGACAACTATTGACAACAAACCTACGGTAAGCTGTCACGAGACTACATATGGTAGCCCATAAGGGATAAAAATAATAATAATAATAAAAAACGCGGCAAACGCAACGGCGGGCCGCACTAACATTAAACTTTAATATCAAGTAGGGGGCCACAAAATATCATCTTGCGGCCCGCGGGCCGCGAGTTTGAGACCTCTGCACTAAGACTATAAACTAACAACTTAGACAGGAACAAACTCTTCTAGTAGACAAGACTCTCAACAGGTTACTCACGGATTGATACAAAGTATGACCATGTCAAACAATGAACCGACACAGGACAGCAAACACAAGGGGATTAAATGGGGAACACTAATGACGAGCACAGGTGAAACTGACTAGACAATAATGACAAGACGAGGGCGGGGCCATGTAACGGGACAACACAAGCACATGGCCCACACAGGCCATGCGCTTGTACACAAAACATGGGTCTGTCATGATCCTGCCACAAGACCAGGAAAAAAATCTAAGACATGATGGCAGAATCATGACAGAACCCCCACCTTAAGGAGCAGCTTCCAGACGCTCCTCAAGGAGACATCAAACATGGGACAAGACCGACTGGGACAAAGACAAGAACCAACAATACATAACAAATAATAATAAGGGCATACAAGAATAAAAAAATTAAAGGATTGGGGTGAAACATCAAAAACATTATACAGGGCAGAGGGGGTGGAGGAAACACAATGTTCATAGGAGGTGTACCAGAATTTGTGAGGGATGGTTCAGGGTGGGTCGATGTGCAAGGGATCTTAGGTCCATGAGATGAGGACTGGGGACGAGGACTCTGGGCTGGCTTGGACGGAGACACGAGGAGAAGACTTAGAAGTCCGGGGTCTCGCGGAGACAGGGACAAACGGGGAAACAGACCGGGGCTTAGTAGTGACAGGGGTGGCCGAGGAAACACACTGGGGTTCTGCATTAACAACAGCAACAGTCTCAGATACAGAGGATGACAAAACAGGACTCCTGATGGGGGACAAGGCAGGCGACGGTACGAGACACAAGACAGGAGGTGAAACAGACGATAGTGGAGCAGGGACAGGGATCAGGGAAGACGATCCAGAATCGACACTTCTCACTTCAAAATCAGTTGAGGCGTCAAACGTAGCCGATTGGGGATCTGAGCCTTTGGCAGCTGGCCTGGGAGCAGCATTTACGACAACTGGCTTAGGACCAGCGCTCACTGCGGTTGGACTGCGATCACGACTCTCAGCAGATGACTTGAGAATGGTGCTCTGTGTAGCAGACTTGGGATCAGCGAAGACTGCAGCTGGCTTGGGATCGGTGCTCTGTATAGCAGACTTGGGCGCTCACAGTTTCTGGACTGAGATCGGCACTCTCTGGAGCATTAGAAACAGGGACTGGGGACGAGACAGGACTGACTGGGACATCAAGAATTCTGGCCAGACGGGATAAATACTCAGACAGGGTTCTGGCAGCGATGATGACTGGCATCTCCTAAAGAGCCGAAACGGACTGTACCACAGCCTTTGCAGCGGAATCGGCTGCTGCTCTCTCTTCTGCAGACACGACAGAAGACTCAGAGACGACATTCACAGTACAAGTCTCTGGAATGGATCTCCCCAACGCCGACTGGAAAAAGGCGCTTTCTGCAGCAGGTTGTAGAACGGTGTCTCCTATTGCAACAACTGGAGCCACGCTTACAGCAGCGGGGCAGGGAACAGTGGTTCCGACTTCAGCAGCGGGTTGGAGAGCCATCACGGGCTCAGGAGGGGGTAGAGATGGAGAACCAGAAGGTCCTCTCCTCCTCTTCTTCCTCCTGGGTCGCGGGGCGGAGTAGGTAGCCAGACTAGTGACCGAAAAGGGGAGTGAAACAGGAACTGTTACCGGAACAGGTGAACTCACTGCAGGCGAGGAGGATTCCAGGCAGGAAGACTCTGATGCTGACTCCCACGATGGGTGCCTTCCATGCTTACCATGAAGACTGATGGACGTGGAAGGCGTCACAGGAGTCGCGGCAAGACTGGGTTGGTCCCCAAGTGTAGCAACGGCTAACAGACGACCCTCAGGGATCACAGGAAGTGTAGCGGAAGATGAAGACCTTGTAGCACTCTGCAGCTCCCTCTGTGACAGACTGTCCACCATATTGTGGAACGGGTGGCTGACCAGTCTCTCACGTTCAGCTAGAGGAGGATGGACGTTAAGACCCGCAATGAAGTAGCGGTTGACCAGGATCTCCGGCAAGAAAAACCTCCTCTTCTCCACGACCTGGGCGTACTTCCTCAGGGTCAATCCTCCCTGAGGAGGGAAAGGAAGCTTGCCTTCCAGGCTGTCGGCGATGGCCGACTGCCACCATCGTTCGGGGTCTGACGACTGCAGAGTAGGGTAAATAGGCATGCTGTCTGCTGGGTTTCTTGTTGGTCGGTTCATTCTGTTATGTGGACGGATAGAGAACCCAGGCGCAGACAGCAGATGATGAACAAAGGATTTAATTAAGGACAAAAACAGAAAGCAAAACCCACGATGGGGCAAAACAAGACAGGGTAGAACACACTAAGACTATAAACTAACAACTTAGACAGGAACAAACTCTTCTAGTAGACAAGACTCTCAACAGGTTACTCATAGATTGATACAAAGTATGACCATGTCAAACAATGAACCGACACAGGACAGCAAACACAAGGGGATTAAATGGGGAACACTTATGACGAGGACAGGTGAAACTGACTAGACAATAATGACAAGACGAGGATAACAAGAGGGCGGGGCTATGTAACGAGACAACACAAGCACATGGCCCACACAGGCCATGCGCTTGTACACAAAACATGGGTCTGTCATCATCCTGCCACAAGACCAGGAAAAAATCTAAGACATGATGGCAGAATCATGACAGTTTCAACGCAAATAGATAAAGTAAACTTCCATTTTATTATTTAAAACATATTGCATGCAATTAAATGTTTTAAAATATAAGTGTTTGTGTAAGGAGCAAATCACAGAGAATCATTAGCTCATTTTAATTAATTGTACTGAACGAGCAGCACAAATCTATTTTTAGTGTAATTTCAAGTTGTTTACGTATCAGCACAAGAACAGTAGGTCATAGTTCAGGAAGCCATGTATAAATATAAATAATTACAGATTAATCATAATTCTAATTGTCTGCCATTGTTTTTGAAACTGCTTGTAATTACACATATGTTGCAACCACACCATGTTGTAATTAAATTTACATGTTTTAAATAAAGCCCTGTATGCTTTCGAATCATTGTACCATTTGATGTCATACACCAATTGGTCTGCTTGAATTCTTTTCACTTCAGGCATCTCTGATGGATGTGAATGGACTACCACACATACACACAAAAACACATGCACTCACTTTAGAACTGGGTCTAAAACTCACAGCATCAAGCATTGAACAGCACAAGTCTGTTGGTGTTGAGAGGAGGGGCAACCTTAACCCTTTAGAAGGCCTGCAAAATTCTGCAAAATTTGCCCAAAACGCCTAAAAAAGACCTATCCAAATTAAATTGCATGCTGTTCGTGAACCATTTGGGGTATATGCATGCTTTTGCTCTCTTTTGAAAGGTGACACTCAGAGGTTTGTTCCTAAACAGTAAGTCCTACTGGTCTTGAGTAATATAACTTTGAACACAATGAAAAATGAGAAAAAAATTCCGCCTACATTTTTTTTTGTGTAAACAGATGCCTGCAGATAACTACAGCTGGGAGCTATTAGCTGGAAAACACAACTGGATCACAGCATGAAGCCTTACCAAACAGAGTTTAAAATTTGATGATAATATCTAAGAAAATGAGTGTTTTACACATGTTTATCTAAGTGTATATCTAGGCGCTTCCCAAAAAAAGCCACTTGGAGACTCCAAATGACCCTTTGTGATCATAGACACATAAAATGCTGCTATTCTTGAATGCTTTACTCTACAGTCATAATTTTGGGCTCTAATGAAAGGTTACACTTAGGGCTATCATATTCCTTAGATTCAGATTCACTGTAAATATTGATGACACATAGTAACTGAAGCATAAACACATTATAGTGTTTTTTTTTCAATTCTTGAAACCAAACTTTCTACAAATAAAGAGACAAAACAAGTGCTATGGTACTAAAACACTTTAATATTAGAACTCAAACTACACACACACACACACACACACATATATATATATATATATATATATATATATATATATATACACACACACACACACACAAAAAAAGTGTGACGACCTGCAGTGCTGTGTCCAGTGATATGCACAGGCTTGGAAAAAAAAAAGAAGCCAGTTCTCCTCTGCATCTCACCCTCCCCGTCCACTTGTTGTTTAGCTGGCAGAACCTCTCTGGAAAGATAAATGATGGGGCTCCTCTCCTGATAAGGTGCTGTCATTCTGTTCCAGTATGTTGTTTTTTCTGACTGGCTCCCAGAATTCACTCAATTAATTTTCAGATGATGGTCTGTGATATATAAAAAAGGGAAATAAGTTAATTTACAAAACATTTACATTATATGTGTGTGAATACAAAAATAATCAGAAACACATGCACACAAAGAACGTCTCTGGTTACGTATGTAACCTTAGTTCCCTGAGGGGAACGAGACGCTGCGTGTAAACGCCGTGGGAACGCCTCTGCGTGACGAGTCATGAAGCACGTATGAAATCTGTCCAATGGCGAGACGGAACGTCATAGGCGGGGTGACGTATCGACCAGGAAACTATAAAGCATCCCCGAAACACAAGCGCAACAGCTTCTGATAGGATTGAAGCAAGCGCTCACGGGCATGCTGGGAGTATGGCATAGACACGCAGCGTCTCGTTCCCTTCAGGGAACTAAGGTTACATACGTAACCAGAGACTTTCCCATTCAGGGAACTTCGAGCTGCGTGTAAACGCCGTGGGAACGCTAATACCAATGCCGCCATGCGAGCAGGTGTCTGTTGTATGAATATCAGAGTGCACATTCTGACGAAAGCATCTGCGCCCCTGGTGTGGAGCTGAAGTCCAGATGGTAAAACTTCACAAATGTGTGTGGTGAAGACCATCCTGCCGCCTCACAGATGTCACACAAGGGAACTCCTGATAATAATGCCTTAGAGGCAGCCATACTCCGGGTTGAATGAGCCCGGACAGCCAAGGGAGAAGGCTGACCGGAGGACTCATAAGCAAGTGAAATGGCCTCGACCACCCACTTACTCATTCTCTGCTTAGACGCCGCAGAACCTCTCTTAGGAGGCCCAACGCAGACAAATAATTGTTCTGATTTCCTCTACAGGGCAGATCTGTGGACGTACGCGTCTAAGGCCCTCACCGGGCAGAGCAGATTTAGTTTCTCCTGGTCTGGTGTCCGAAACGGAGGAGGACAGAAGGCCTGTAGCACTATAGGTTTGACAACCGTAGTTGGAACCTTCGGAACATACCCCGGTCTAGGGAGGATGAAAGCCTTCGCCATACCGGGAGCAAATTCCAAGCACGAGGGGGAAACCGACAGCGCCTGAATATCTCCAATCCTCTCAAGGGAAGAGATGGCTAGGAGAAAGATGGTCTTGAGAGTAAGAAACTTCTCAGGCACCTCATCAATGGGCTCGAAAGGGGCTAAACAGAGCCCCTCCAACACAACCGCTAGATCCCAGGTCGGTACCCTCGTACGCACTACCGGCCTCAGCCTCAGGATACCACGAAGGATTACCAGGGGATGTCTCCCAAGAGAAGCTCCACTCAAAGGGACATGGTAAGCGGATAGGGCCGCCACGTACACCTTTAGTGTGGAGTACGATAACCCTGTGGAGAAGCGTTCCTGAAGGAATTCCAGCACTGCCGGCAATGGGCAGTTAACTGGATCCAACTGTCGCTCTCCACACCAAGAGGTAAACAGTTTCCACCTCAAGGCATACAACTTCCTCGTGGATGGGGCTCTGGACTGGAGGATGGTCTCCACGACCTCAGTCGAGAAACCTGAATCTATGAGCTGGGCCCCCTCAGAGGCCAAGCCCACAACCTCCACAGTTCCGGACGGGGGTGGAGTATCCCCCCGTCCGCTTGAGACAGAAGGTCCCTCCTGACCGGAATCTCCAGAGGAGGACCCTCGAGAAGGGAAATCAGGTCCGCAAACCATACCCTGGTTGGCCAACGGGGGGCCACCAGAAGTACACTGACCCCTTCCTGGCGAATCCTTTCCAGAACCCCTGGGAGCAGAGCAATCGGGGGAAATGCATACAGGGGTGCCCTCGGCCACTCCTGTACCAACGCATCCAGCCCCAATGGAGCTGGAGGACTCAGGGAAAACCACAGCGGGCAGTGTGAGTTCTCCCTGGACGCAAAGAGGTCCACTTCGGCCCGACCGAAGTGTCTCCAAAGGAGCTCCACCACCTCGGGGTGAAGTCTCCACTCCCCGGGCCTCGGCCCCTGCCTCGACAGGATGTCCGCTCCCCGATTTAAGTATCCTGGGATATAAATCGCTCTCAGCGACCGCAGTTTCCCCTGGGACCACAACAGGATCTGGCGCGCCAGCTTGTACAATGGACGTGAGCGCAGACCCCCCTGGTGGTTTATGTAAGAGACCACAGACATGTTGTCTGACCGGACAAGAACATGATGATCTCTGTGGTCTGGGAGAAAGTGTTTCAGAGCCTGAAACACCGCCATCATCTCTAGACAATTTATATGCCATCGGAGATGATGGTCTTGCCACAGCCCGCGGGCCGAGCGACCACTCATGATCGCTCCCCAGCCCGTGAGAGAGGCATCCGTCGTCACCGTTACCCAGCGACACGGGGCTCCCAGCGCAGGTCCCAGGGACAGGAACCAAGGTTCTTTCCACATAGCCAGGGCACGGAGACCACGTCGCGTGACCTTGATCTTGCGGAGCGGGTTTCCCCTCGGGGAGAACCCCTTGGTCCTGAGCCACCACTGTAGTGGTCTCATGTACAGCAGGCCGCACGGTAACACGTTGCATGCTGCTGCCATCAGACCCAGAATTCTCTGGAATTCCTTTACAGTGAGTGACTGGCCTAGCTTCACTTGCTTGACAGTCGAGATAATCGAGGCTATACGAGCCGGCGACAGACGTGCCTGCATCGTCGTCGAATCCCATACCACGCCTAGAAAAGTGGTCCGCTGAACTGGCGAAAGCACACTCTTCTTGGCGTTGAGTCTCAACCCCAACCTTCTGATGTGGGCGAGGACGGCATCTCGATGCCGAATCGCCTGATGCTCCGATTGAGCCAGAATCAACCAATCGTCGATGTAATTTAAAATGCGAATGCCCTGGAGACGCAGCGGGGCCAAGGCCGCGTCCATGCATTTCGTGAAGGTTCGAGGAGATAACGCTAGGCCGAATGGAAGGACCCGATATTGGTACGCTTCGCCCCCAAAAGCGAACCTCAGGAACTTCCGATGTTGCGGAAGGATGGAGATATGGAAGTACGCGTCTTTTAGGTCTATCGTGACAAACCAGTCCTCGGACCTGATCTGTGACACGATCTGCTTGAGAGTCAGCATTTTGAACTTGAGCTTCCCTACTGACCGATTTAAGAGGCGCAGGTCTAAAATCGGACGCAGCCCCCCATCCTTCTTTGGAACAATGAAGTACCGGCTGTAATACCCCAGCTCTCTGTCGGGAGGAAGAACTCGTTCTATCGCCCCCTTCAGTAGCAGAGCTTTCACTTCTTGTTCCATAACCAGAGCCTGCTCGGGGGTCACCACTGTGGGCAAAACCCCCCGAAAACGAGGTGGACGCGACCTGAACTGGATCGCGTACCCGCGTTCGATAGTCTGCAGGACCCAACGAGATATATTTGGAAGACTTCCCCATTCTACCAGAAATTCTACTAAGGGTACCAGTCTCTCGAGACTGGCCTCTGGAGTAGTTTTTAAAACAGAAACAGCGCCCTGTGACCGCGCACAGGCAGGGTTTAACGACCGTTCTGTATCGCTCCTCGGAGCAAATGAGCGTCCCTCGGGAAATCGCTCGCTGGGACCGTCTGCACCCCCCATTACAGGCAGGGTTGGCAGAACGAACCCTGAGGGCACCGAGAGAGAGCGGGCGCCGGATTCAGCGGCGAACACCTCTGTCTCACGGTGGGGACCACCCTCAGTAGCCTGACACCAGTGGCGTCAGGACTTCTTCGACGAAGCCTTCCTGGCGACAATAACCGTCCTCAGATCGGTTCTATCCCGGGAAGACCTCACCTGAGAACGCCGCGTCTCAGCCCAGTTTTGCTGGGGAGGAGCCCGAGACGCGACGCTCTTCTTCTGCTGCGCCCTATGCGAGGAACCCGACGGGCGGGGCTGCTCTCGCCCAGCAGCCCCCGAAGGATGAGTACGGAGGGGGAGACATTTCTGGAGCGCCGCTGCTTGCTTTTTTCCCTCTTGGAATCTCTCAATCACTGCGTTCACAGAACCACCAAAAAGTCCTTCGGTCGACAGCGGCGCATCCAGGAGAAAAGCTTTATCTTTCTCCTTCATATTAGCCAGATTTAGCCACAGATGCCTCTCCGTGGCCACCAGGGCTGCCATAGAGCGGCCGACTGATCTGGCCGTCTCCTTGGTGGCACGGAGAGAAATATCTGCCGCCTGACGCAGCTCATTAATCACGTCAGTGCCGACGACCTCCCCCTCACTCATATCCTTCAGCAGATCTGCTTGATACGCCTGGAGGATGGCCATCGTATGCAAGCAAGATGCTGCCTGTCCCGCCGCTGAATAAGCTTTGCCCACCAAAACCGAAGTATTTCTGAGTGGCTTGGTGGGCAACGCCGGTGTTTTAAAAGACGATGCCATCTCAGGAGAAAGATGGCTCGCCAAAACTTCCTCCATCCTCGGCATCGCCCCATAACCGTGTCTCCTAGACCCAGCAATATTAGCATACATAGAGGTCTGGTGTGTCAGAATTCTAGCTGACACTGGTTTGTTCCACGATCTACACACCTCGGTGTGTAGATCGGGAAAGAAGGGCAAACACCGGCGTGGAGGTAGTGAGTGTGATTTTAAAAATCTCTCATCCATTTTACTCTTTATTCTCGACTCTTGTTTCTCAACTGGCCATTCAATGCTTAATTTTTCCACAGCCCGAGTCAAAACCTCCATAAGCTCTACATTCGCGGGAGACTGGGATGGCGAGTCCCCGATCTCCACTGAGTCCATAGACTCTGCATCCACACTTTCAATATCCAGCTCCTCAGAACTGGATAATTGAAGTGATGGCGCCTCAGCCCGGGCAGGAGAAACCGCAACGCGGACCCCCGCAGCGAGATCTGAGGCACTGGATCTACCAGGTAAGGGCAGAGAAAGGGCGGGGCCCGTCTCAATCCCCGCTGATAGATCCATCTGCGATCCCCACGACGCAAGCCTTCGCTGTGCCTCGGCAGCAGCGGGACCCGAGCCGCGGGGAGCGCGCACCGAACCACTCTCCTCGAAGAGTGCCCGGCGGGAGCGAAGTGTCTTTTTTTTTCATGGGCAGACACTCGCAGTGCTCACAGCCGGCCCCCTCGAGAGCCGACTGAGCATGCTGCACTCCCAAACAAACAACACACAGATCGTGTGTATCCCCACCCGTGATGAAGCGAGGGCAGGGATGAACACACTTTCTGAAATTCTGCTGTTGTTTGCTCGCCATATCAATATATATATATATACAATATTAGACAGACAGACAAAATTCATACATAGAGCGCTTGTGAAGACTCAGAAGCTGTTGCGCTTGTGTTTCGGGGATGCTTTATAGTTTCCTGGTCGATACGTCACCCCGCCTATGACGTTCCGTCTCGCCATTGGACAGATTTCATACGTGCTTCATGACTCGTCACGCAGAGGCGTTCCCACGGCGTTTACACGCAGCTCGAAGTTCCCTGAATGGGAACCAGGATTATGCAGTTCATGAGCGCACACGCACATCATGAGCAATAACATAAACACGAGCGCACACAACATAAATTAGCAGATAAATGTAAACAAACACACAAGACATGTATGTTTTGTGTGTTTAGCTATTTCAACTCACAAAAAGGCCACATAAACAGTGCTATAACGTTACGAGCGCACACCAGAGAAACTATAGCAGGTAGCAAATGCTACACGCAAAACACAAACACACACACAATCACACACACACACGGCAAAAGCTGACGCCTCAACTGAGGCATGTGTTTGTTTTAGTACACCTAAACCAAACACATGTCTCAGTATATAGAGTCAAATATGTTGAGTAATATAATAAAACTTACTTTTCGTGACGTGAGTGCCGTGGCCACCATCCAAAAAGGTCCTCTGCTAGTGCTAACCAGACAACAACATCGATTGCTCTCTTGCTCACAAATGTCCTCCCACTCACCACGGTCACGGAGAATACACTGTTCAATCACTTCTTCGGGTAATAAGTGCGTCTTTCTAATTATCTTTGCCATTTCACATCTGTTACCTCCTTTCACTCACCAACGCGTTCAATGTTGTGTTTACGCACAAGCGCGCAGAGGATCACTTTCGCTTTACGCACGAAATATAACGTAATCGGATGATTCCACCCACTAAAGCTGCATTTCAGTCTTTTCAGAAATTCATTGGCTATCAGAAAATAGCGTCATTTCATTCTCTATTGCAACTGGATAGATAAACTGTCACTCAAAGAGAGGTAGGTACAGATTTCACCAGGCGCGCTCGTTGGTTGTTGGAACCTCAGAAGACACCCCTAACACTCGCCAATTGGCTAAAATGACCTGTCAATCAATAGTTCAGGGGTCAGCGGCCATTTTGACATACTTTTTTCTCCAATGTTTACGTTTCAACTGAAGTTAGACGGATCAATAGTGCTAGTGCGTTGAAGTTGTGATAGCGCTGTCGGCTAACGCGAAATGCTACTATTTACATTCCATGGATGTTTATTCATATATACAATTGTTTTGGACTAAAAACTTCTTCAAATTGGATTGTATGGACGCTTTTCAGTGAAACCAAACCATTTTTGTTGGAATGTAAGGGATCAGTGGACTACTTGGTGAGTTTCTTCCAGTTTGTGTTGGTTTGTTTTGGCTGTTGGTGGTCTGACAAAGAGACAGATTGTGCCCGCTGTGTTGATTGTATCTTAACATGGTTTACGTCGTTCGAATCACGAGTTTCTCAGCTTTCCAAAGATATGTATTGTGTTTACTTTTGTGTTTGTGGAGCTTTGTTTTTCACAAAGTTAAACCTATAAACCACCCTGTGGGTCGTATACGGGACGTCGGAACACGATCATTTACTCACACACTGTCTATCTCTCAGCAGGGTCTTACAAAAGTCCTACCTCCTCTACTCAAAAACCCTTGCTTAACTATCATAAGATATCTAAACTGATTTCTGATCAGTCCCTAAAACAAGCTCAATTCAAACAGTATCCCACAAAATAGGTTGGTAGAAGAATGAATATGTGTGGGAGATTATACTTTTTTAATTACATTTTTAACATGTGACGTTGCTGTTTGAGCATCAAAACGGTCTGTAAAGTTACAAAGCACAAAGTCCACTCCAAATGAGTTATTATCAGTAAGTACTGTTTCTCAACCTGATACTCCTTGATTGTGGTCTTGAGGTTTCTTCTGGGAATGTACACATCACAATATTCCTCAATAAATTCCCACTCAAGGCTAAAATCCATAGTTTGTATTGTAAATACAACTTTGTCTGGTCATTCAATGGATCCGAATATGAAATATGATTTTTAACTACACTTAAATTCTAGTACTAGATTAATACCTGGTTTTATAAAGGATTCTTACTGAAAGGACCTGGAATTATGTGTAACCTTAAGCTTATTGTTATTCAAGCTATAACATGATAGTTCTGTTCTCTGGTGTTTTGTTTGAGCATGTGCATCATTTGATCTAAAGATCTTTAATACAGTGAGTGAATATACAGGCGTACAGTATAGTCTTTGCACATGGGGCAAATATGGACCATTTTGCCAGTGGCGAACATTAAAGAGGAATGTATAATGAGCCATAAGGGCAGAGAGATGGCAGGGCTCCAACAGCTTTAATAGATCGGCTGTGTCTCTCTACCGAAACTGACATTGTGTCAGTGATTTTCTCGCTTGAGAGAGAATTATTCTCAGAGTGCACAGAAAATTGGCCTACAAATTAATATGCCACTCCTAAAAAGGAATGGCCTATAGCAGAAATTTGCACATGACCCTTTAAATATTCACCAATGTTTAAATAAAGATATTCGGATTCTTGTTCTACATTTTTTTTCACACAATGTGCTGTTAATTAATATAATTGGGATATCAATGCTTAAATATTACGATTACATTTAACTTGCTTTGCTGTTTAAAGAGCAGTTGAATCTAGGAAAGCACTCTTTAATACGTTACAAAGCATGGGCTGTAGCTCTTCCTTTGTGAATTTGTAGGCTATGAATACAAATCGAATCTCTGTATATATTCCACATTTAAAGGGGGGGTTGACTGCTTTTTTTCTTTGCATGATTGTGTTTATGGGGTGCAATATAACATGTATTTGTGTTTTTTCTTTTTTAAAGGTGCCCTATAATGTTTGTTTTTTTTTAAATTATTTTATAATGTTTCCTGGGTTGCCCTTATAATGTTAGTATGTTTTTTAGATAAAAAAATAGTCATAATTTAGAAATAAAAGGCATTTTTCCTAGCCTGATTTTAGCCTCTGATTTGAACACTCTGTTTGAAGGGGCGTGTCTGCTGTGTGTAACTGGCCTCTGCTGTGATTGGCTGACATGCTTGCATATGAAATAGCAACATATTACATGTGAAACTCTCGAATAATTATACTACAGCTATTATATGTTTTTACTATCGAGATTAACGAATCGTGAGATGTTTTTGAAGTATATAGATCTATTCCCGTCACATAAAGTGTTGCTGTGTTGAGCATTGAGCAAGCAGAGACAGTCTGTTGATCGCGAGAATAAAGATCTTATCATTGCAATACAATCTCTCTACTCTCTAATGCAGCAGACATGATGATGTAAATACAGTTAACGTTAGAGCTTCGTTGTGCAGTGTAACGTGCGTCATTGAATTCATAACGTGTTTGGCAAGTGTCCAGATAAACTCGTGCTGTGATTGTTCTTTGATCACTTTCTTTCTGTTTATAATTTACAATTTAAATAAGATTTTTTTTTTCATCCTACTAAAAGAAACGATGTGAAGTTGATTTTTAATCACTGGCCTGACTTACTGATGCAAAAACAGTATTGAACGATTTTAAAGTGAAAGATTACCTGTCTGAACTTGAACAACAACACATCAGCTCGGTCCGAGGCCAGCTCTTGGCAAGTTGAGGAAACAAGTCGTCGGTGAAATGGTTGAAAATTTCCAGAGAAAATAAAATTATTCCATTGTTTCTTCAGAGGCTCGGACGAAGGAACTAAAATATACTTTTGTATTAATGTGTACATCCGAACACTGATCAACTGCCATGCTTCGGCTGCACAGCTCTGTCTCGTCTATCACTGAACATGGGCTGGCATATGCAAATATTTGGAGTCATACATATTAATGATCCCGACTTTTACGTCAGAGTCGGTATTATGTGGAGATTCGCCTGTTTTTCAGGGGTGTTTTTCAAAAATGAGATTTAAGTAAGAAGGAGAAAACAATAATGTTTGAGACTCACTGTATGTCATATCCATGTACTGAACTCTTGTTATTTAACTGCCAACATAAATTCAATTTCACATTATAGGGCACCTTTAAAAAGTCTTATTTTTCATAAACTTCACCTTTATTGTCAGCCGAACGAGCCGAACGAGCAGTTGACTTCCTGATTCTATGAAACCACTCCCTCAGAAACAGGCAGTGGGCTCAGATTGGTTAGTTTAGGCCGGTGTGTTGTGATTGGCTAAACTGTCACTTATAAGCGGGCCGTGCGGACAACAGTTTGAGAGACAGAGACTGGCAGCTCCTGCACGTATCCTATGGAGTCCTGTTACCGAACGCGTGACATTTGAAAGCTGTATTCAGCGGGAAGAGTTTTCACTGCAACCGTGTTCGGCAAAGCTGTGTTCAGTGGGACGAGTATTATCACCTATTATTTATTTTTGCCTTTGACATTCTGAGTTAACTTTATTTGAGCGCAACCTCGCGCTGTGAAAAGAGTTGTGTAAATAAAAGTGCACGAGTCCCAGTATTCGCCGAAACTGTGTCTCCTTTCATCACCCACACATAACGAACCTGTTCTTACATCACACAGTGATGATAAAGTATATATACTGTACATGAAAAATACATTTATAAAATGAGTACATAAAATTCAGGTCCAAAATGTTTGTACGCGTTTGTCGTAGACACAAAATAGCATAACTAAGTGGATATAAAGCCAGCACTGGCATTTGACAAAACTAAAACATTACATCTGAAATTATACATGCAAATATATTTAAAATGATTAAGTCTTAGCCTACTTACAGGTTGTGGCCCAATAACTGCTGCCTCTGGTTTTAAAATTGGAACTGCTTCATGTTTTAGTTTCTTGTTGAATCCGACATTGAATTCGTGGAGATTCTGGAAGCTGTCTTCCGTAAAATGCGCAGCACAGAGAGCTAGATTACGATCGTCATTTTCAGGAACATAATCAAACATAAATTGTATCCATTGTTGACGAAGTACAGTGTCCGTGGGAAGCTCGAACACAGACGACCTGACAGCTGGGTGAACATAACACACTCGACGAGCAGAAATATGCGCATGCCCTTTTTTGCATTTTCCAGAGGGCGGGTTGATGCAAATGTATGGGTTAGTGACGTCTAAAACCCAGCTGTAGTCCCAATCGAGTCATTTTTGTAGGCATTCAACTTCCTGATTTTTAAAAGACGATATCTCTGCTTACATTGAACTTTCAGCTCTGCAACTTTGCAGATACTGTTCATGCACCATCAGCTACATTACACACTATTTAAAATGAAAAAAGTGAAATCGCAGTCAACCCCCCTTTAACAGAAAAGGAGACAGAGAGAGAGAGAGAGTGTGTGTGTGTGTGTGTGTGTGTGTGTGTGTGTGTGTGTGAAAAAGAAAAGAAGAAAAAAAAAATACTCGAATGTATTTATTTTATGCAACACGAAAAAAAAATATTTTGAAAAAATTTGATTTTTGTTCACAATGAAAGCCAGTGGGGTTCAATGTTGACAAAAACACTTAAAACATTAAATGTTCAAAGATAAAAGAAATCATACAGATTTGGAACGAAATTTCTGAATGAAGTATTTCCATTAAATGTAACGATTAATAATAGACTAAATCTTGCGAAACCCACTATATCTTTGTCCTTCAAGTAATCACAGTTCAGGTCATGTTTATTCACACACACACACGCACACACACACACACTTTCCCTTGAGGTAGTGTATGAGTGGGAAGCGTGTAGAAACCGTGGCATTGCGGAGACAGTCAGATGCACTCAACTGGGTCGTGGGTAGCATGCTGCCATAGCAACCACTTTTCACCAGCCCCCGGGCCCAAAAAAAAAAATGTGTTCATTCTTTATTTTCTGTCTTCCATCTCTCCTTCTCTCTCATTCCCTGTTTCATTTGAGAAAACCTTGCTAAACTCTCTGGCAGAGGATCTACTGTACTGTTCTGAAAAGAGGTTGTGAGGAAAGTGCTCATTCTGATCGCTCATCACTGCAACCCATTCACTGACTACACATACACATGCATGTTTTGCAGTGCAGAGATCCTTTTGTTTTATTCTGAAACTATAGTGGTTTGAAGCTTTATCTTTAATTGTATGCCACATTGTAATGTAATTTGCATCTTTGGACATTTCTGGATAAAAGGGGGTAAAACTTATTTGCCCGAATAATTCATGGATTTGATGCGACTGCATGCT